CAGAGTTAATGCAATTGAAGTATAGTTACATGGAGGGTTCCTATAGTTCCCAAACCCATCCTTATTGGTCGAGGACGGTGGGAGGAGTTTAGAGGGGTCACATGACACCTTTACTGCCCATCACATTATGGCCCCGGAAGTAATATCCCCAGGGGAGGACTTCCTGTGGCAGGTAGGTGGGGCCTAACAGGTCAGGGGGTGTGGCTAAGGTATCCCTATTTTTGGTTCAGAAAATATGGTCACCGTAGGTAGAGATGAACCAATCACTGAACTGAAAGTTGGTGGCTGCCAATGGCCTGATTACATTCAAGATGGGCAGAGGACCACCCCAAACTAATATTCACACTCAGTAATTCCAAAAGCCAAATTTTCCAAAGCTGAGAAATCATGAGAAAAAGATACTGGAGGTAAAAACTAGACAGAAAAAAGTAAATTGGGAGTTCCATAAAAAGAATTATTACATAAACAAAAAGCCAGAATCAAGAAAGAGGAAACTTTGGCCATAAAGCCATCTTGGTTTAGTTGCGAAGTGAAGACAGCAATTAGAAATATATTTTTAAAAGCAATATATAAACAATGGCAAAAGACAGGTATAAACAACATACATTAGAAGTTATGAAGTATAGAACAATTAAATGAAACTTAAGAGACTGGAGGGGGAATCTACAGCTGCACTAGGTATAATATGAAGGGGGAAGGGTTAATTGAAAAAAGTATATTAGGAGCAAAAGAAATTTTGGCCATAGCATATGGCCAACTTACTAGATAAAGAGGGCAAAATTGTTAATTATGAAGAAAAGATAAAAATGGTTGATAAATACTTCCATCCTATATTTTAAAAGAAACAAGGGTGTGTATGTATTACATGATAGAGTACTTTCCAAATAATTAGGAACTAAGAAGATTGTTAATCATCCTTTTCAAGGGATAAACATTTTTAAATGAGCATGCCCACAATGTGTAGAAGAGTCCTAAGGGTTGGCTGAAGAGGTATTTGAACAGCTGATGTTGATTTTTAATAAAACTTGGAATACCAGGAAAATACCATAAGTCTGAAAGAGTGCTACTTCTGCGTCAGTATTCCAAAAGGCAACTGTAATGATACAGGCAAATACAGTCCTGTAGCCTGAAATAAATTTCAAGCAAAAAATGGAAAAGCTGATATCTGATTCAGTTGATAAAGAATTAAAGAAAATGAATGTAATTAATGTTAACATGGTTTATAAAAAATAAGTAAATCTGACTTCGGTCTTTGATGAGATTACAAGTTTGGTAGGTAAAGGTAACTTACAAGTAATATTTAGAGTTTTATAAAGCATTTGACTCAGTACCACTGAACATTCTGATCAAAAAGTTAGCATATGCAATATTCATAAAGTACATATTAAATGGATAAAGAACTTGCTGACGGACATAAAAAGTAGTTTTCAATGGGAAATTATCCAATGGATGTGTTTCCAGTGGAGTTCCAAAGAGATCAGTATATGCTTAATGCTAGTGAATATCTTTTCAGTGATGCAGAAGTAAATATCAAATCACTGCTGAAAAAAATCGGACGATAAAGACTGGCAGAATGGTATATAACGAAGAAAAAAGGGCATTCATACAGAACAAGCTGGATCACTTGAACTTTTTTTACGAGTCCATTTTTAAAAGCTTCTAAAATGAAAATGTAAATTATATAAATATGAACAAATTGGTGCCAACAGTTGCTAACTGATGTCCAATTTTGGCTATTAAACTGCAAAGAAACTCAGAGCAACAAAACAATGTGAGTTGAGTTGGAGAAAGATATTTGGATTTTTTAGACAAGAGCTTTCATAGCCAGAATGTTCAAAAGTCTGTGTAGGTAATGTAACTTTTCTGGAAGTAACTATACAGCAGATTACAATTATTTGTTATAGGATACACTTGGGAACAGAGATATTTTAAAAATTCCAAAATGCAGAGCAATTAGAATATTACAATCTCTTTGTAGTCAGACAGTTGAATCTCTCCAATTCAGCACTGCCATCACCAATGTGTTAATTTTATACAATAACTAAGGAGTACAAGATATGATTATAGGGTACCTAGTGCTTTCTGCCACAGGACAATTAGCCTTTTTCTGTCAGAAAAGCGAGGTGTAGCGAGTGAGTGGTTATACTGATTTGGGGTCTGATTTAAAGACCACTAAAGTAATTGGAAGGTTTATCTTTGGCAACTTCATGCCTTTTCAGTCATAAACCTTAAATTGATTTACTAGATGAAGAAATTGAAGTACAGAGGTGAGATACTTGCTCAAGGCCATCCAGTAGGCCACCAGCAGAGCCAAGAATACAGCCGTAGGCTTCCTGAACTCTAGTCCAGTGCTCTATGCACTAGTTCTTACTAGGGTTGCCAGGTGTCTAGTTTTTGTCCAGACAGTCCATTATTTCTGGCCTCTGTCCGGGGAAAAAACCCAGAAAATACCAGACATTTAAAGTGTCCCATATTTTCTGTTTCTCTCGGACAGAAGGCCAGCGGGGACATTCTTCCTCTGCTGCATCTGGCGAGGGGAGACACCCCCCCCCCCCCCTCAACAACTTTGGCTCCCCGTTTTGTTTTGTTTGGCTCAACCATTTTTTTTTTTCCCCTGCCATGTTCAGGATTTTTTGTGAAAGTATCTGGCAACCCTAGTCCTTATAGCCTATATGCTGACGTGTTAGCCAAATAAAACAGGCCTAGAAGTTGGGCGACTAGAAATGTTACTTCCTGAATTACCTCTGAGGAGTCATTTGTGTAAAAGCTGTCAGATTTGGGTGCCTGAATAATAGCTCAAAATCAACAATGCACAATCAAGGTTAGTAAATGGGCTTCATGAGTGCTCCTTCATTTCAGCAGGCTGCAAGATTGTCATAACCAAGATAGTCTCCTGGGATAAGGTAGTTTTACTAAAATGTGGTTGGGTACCTAGAATTTGCAGGATGTGCCAACCGAACCATAGCAGAACTTTGATTAGATGCAAAAGTTAGGGTTGCCAGATGGTTTCAACAAAAATACCAGACACACTTGACATTACATCAGAATCTACATTACATCTTATTTAGAAAATACTGGACATTTATATTCTCTCATTTATATTTTCCTCAATTTGTTTCCCAAACAGAAAGCTCAAAAACTGGACTGTCCGGTTCAAAACCGGACACCTGGCAACCTTAGCAAAAGTAGCATACAGTTCTTACAGTCAATGTTGAGTATAATCAACATACACCTCACTTCACATGCCCTTGCTTTACAAGCTTGTCATTTTAGTAATACTGGTAGGAAAATAAAGACCAGTAAAACTCCAGTTGTCTGGCACTCCTGATAGGCCGGCAACACCTGGAACCCAGAAGTGCTCCAGGCAGTCGGACAATTGGAGCTGCTCTGCCCCAGGCTTCCCCAAGTCAGACGCTAGTCAGTTTCAGCAGTGGCTAACTTGGGGACGCCTGGGGCAGAGCAGCTGAGGTGCTGCCGGGTTGGTCCCATAGCGCCACCCCTTGGCACTGAGGGACCA